CATGTAAAATTCGTAACAAATTTAACTTATAGAGTAATCAATAAATGCTTTAGCCCCATGCTCCAATTATAATGGTTCATATTAGCTTCTCTCATTCAGATTCATGGCTTTGCCTCTTAATTAACATCTATGGTAACTATTAATTGTTTATGATCTCTAACCATTTCACATTGTTCATCTTACAAAATTATTGTTTTCTATCTTACATTTTCATAAAATGCTTTAGCAAGTATAAAACCTTCCTGTTATATTTTCATGTAAACCTGATTAGCACGATATCATTACATGATTGATTGGATAATGACTACTCCTAGGAAAGATCATAATAGAGTTGATGTCAGCGCAAGAGTTTTTAAGATAATGAAGCTAAATCAATTGTTGAATGAGAATTTTTTTGCATGCATGTTATATTTCGTAGATTTACTTTAAGGGTTAATGCAACATTTGGTAACTGGGTTTATTAAAATGTGTCATGTTTAGTCAAAGAAAAAAAATAATATCAACTTTGGTCACTCAAATTACTAAAACATGTCACATTTAGTCTCCGTTAACAGAGACAGTTAAGTGCTGATCACATGGCTAACGGAATCGCCTAGTCAGCATCGTTTTGGACCAGATATGGGTACCACGTCACTAAACCCGCCATGTCATTTGTCCAACCCAACCCGACCATATTCTTCATCTCTACCATGCCTCTCCACTTCTCCCCCTTCCATTTCACGTCACTGAAAAATCCTCCTCCTTCTCTTTCACTCCAACGAGCTCACCACATCCTCTCCTTCAACCCTCAATCCACTACCTTCACCGAACAAGAATCCGAAGAACAAGCTTCTCCTTCCCCCCATCAAACTCAACGCCTCCCCACCATCATCTCTCAACCTCCTCTCAAGATAATCAGTCGTCAGATCCAACCACCGGACTACAAATCCCTCACCTCCGCCAAGCTCCACCGTGACTCCGCCCCCGTCCAGTCAATCTCCGCCAAGCTCCTCCTCTCCGACTCCGACCTCATTCGTCTACTCGATTCCGACTCCCACCATTTCCTCTCCCATTCTGATTAATCGACTCCCGTCACATCCAGATCGAACTAGGAAACGGGGAGTCGGGGAATACTTCTCCTAGGTCAGGCTCAGCAAAAAAGACTCGATCTTCAACCGGCCTTCCTCCTCCTCCTACTCCCCGCTCTTCTACATCTCACCGGAGTGCGCCGCCCTCGACGTCTCATCCTGCCTCTCCGACAAGTGCCTCTACCAGGACAATTACGGAGACGGGAAACTGACGCCAACGCAATGGGGGAATCGATTTAGGGTTTCGTCCACTGCTGTGATGGGGGAAGCTAATGCCAGCGCGCGATGAAGAAGAAGTACAGAGCGGGTTCGCAGGAGGATCTTAGGGTTTCATTGTCTGCTGCGATTGGGGAACTAAACCCGACGCGCGATGAGGAAGAAAAACTCGACTTCGACGGAGGATCTGGGACTAGGGGGTCAAGGGGTAGAGTGGTTGGCTCCACCTCTCCCTACTCTCTGATGTGTTCTATCCAAAATGGTAGACGAAATTGAAGGATCAGAGCTATGCGAGGAAGGAGAAGAGTTTCAGGTCTGAAAATGCCACTAACCCGAATGATTTTCCAATTTTATTTTATTAACTTGGTCTGGTTTGGTTCTTGGTCGAGTTGGGTTAATGGGCTGGGTTGGGTGTATGACATGGCGGGTTTAGTGACGTGGTGGGTCGGGTTTGACCATTTTTTACTCTAAACGGCGCTGACTAGGCGCTCCCGTTAGCCATGTCAGCACTTAACGAGCTCTGTTAACGGATTTGGACGGAGACTAAAGGAGAGGGACTAAATGTGACCTGTTTTAGTAATTTGAGTGACCAAAATTTATATTAATTTTTTCTAGTGACTAAACAAGACAAGATTTTAGTTATCCCAATGACCAAATGTGGTATTAACCCTTTACTTTAATCATTCTTTAGTCATGAGTTGTTTGTTAATTATTTTAAGTTTAGATGGCTATTGATAATTTCTATATTTTGAAAGTGTTGTGAATTTAAAAAAATGGTCTACCTCATACTCATTTATTAGCATATTTTTTTTGTTAGAAACGAGAGCGTAGAGGGGATTTATTAGTATTTCTAGACGTGGAAGATAAATTGTATAGTCCTTTGAAAATATATTTAATTATATTTGATGAAATTTCAAATCTAAGTAGATCTTAAATTTTATGAAGCAGTTACAAATTCTATGCTTCATGGTCTAAATGGCATTCAACTACGTAAAGCTCCATGTGCATCAAATAGTGTATGTTCTAAATGTTTTTCTAGGGAGATCCACGAGCAAAACAACTGCCGATGACAATGGTTTTGCAAGGTATCAGCGTCAAGAAAATAACTAATCAAGCATGGTGAGTATGGGTCACTTGATAACCAGTTCATTCTTCCTATATATCATGTACCTAATGTTACGATTTCAAGCTCATATAATACCAGTGATAGGCTAATAGCGAGAGAAAGCAAATTGCTGAAAATATTCATAAATTAGACGAGGTAAAATCTACTTTAGCGAAAATGGTGCATTATATTTGAGAATAGGGGTGGCTATACGGTCCGGTCCGGTTAAATTGACCCAAATTGATCCGGTCCAGTCCGGTCTTTTTGAAAATATAAGGACCAAAGATTGGATTGGATACAGTCCGGTCTTGATCCGGTCCGGTCTTGACCCGGTCCAGTCTCAATTCGGTCTTGATTTTACATTGAGCTTGTGGGGATTTGAGTGGCCTAAGGCCTGAAAGGGTGACGAGTTGGTTAAGTTTTGTACTAAGTGCAAAAGTTTGTGACCATTTATGCAAGTTACCCTTAAGTTTTGGGTGTTGAGCTCTCTTATCCGGTCTTTATTAAGTTTTCGATCCGGTCCCGAACGGTTTTTTACCTCAAATCTAAGCCCAAAGATTGGATTGGATTGTTTACTATCCGGTCCCGTTCCGGTCTCGGTCCGGGTTATACGGTCTGATTTCGGGTAAAACCAAAAAATCCGAACCAAATAGCCAGCCCTATTTGAGAATATCTTACAATTATTTTTTTTAGTCCGATCAAATGTAGGGGAAGGAAGAAGAGATCATTGGAATACAATTGAATAAGGAAGAAACAATTGATAATTAATATGGAGGTGACACTAGGGCTGGCAGTTCGGTTTCCGGTTAGCGGATAACCGTCGGTTAAAACCAAACCGACCGGTTTTCGGCTAACCAAAAACCGAGACTAAAATTGCTTCGGTCGGTGCACGGAGAAGACTAAAAAGCTTCGGATAACCGAGTAACCGACGATTATTAACCGCGGTTATCCAAAAAAATCGACCTAAACCGACCAACCCTCATATATTGCCCTCCCTGCAAAAGAAATGACATATAGAACCCTTACCCCACTCTGAAACCCTATAATCCCCTCATCAGACCCTCACCCTCACGAGTCACGGCTGCCGCCCTGCTCCCTTCCTCGTCCCCTCACGGCCGCCGCCCTGCTCCCTTCCACGCCGCCATGCAGATCCTTCCTCGTCGCGTCGCACCCGTCCAGATCCCTTCCTCGCCGCTGCCCAGATACCGTCCTCATCGCGTCGTCGCCTCGCGCCGTCGCCTCCATCCTTCCTCTTTCCCGTCCATCCGTTGTCGCCGTCGCTGTCCCCGAGCAGATGAACCGCGACCGTGAAAGTGAGAAGGAAAAGAAAAATGGTCTTTGTCCATGAGTTCAGAAAAGAAGAGAACGGGAATTGAGTTTGGTTGAGAGAGAGAGAAAAAAATTGGTTTTGGCTGGGAGAGAGAGGAGAGAAGAAGAGGCTTGGAGCCTGGAGGGTTAGCAGAGGCAAAGCAAGGCAGAGAGAGGGGAGAAGAAAATACGTGGGTTCTTTTTTGGGTGAGGAGAGAAGATGAAGAAGATAAGGACGAAAATGTGTGGTGGTTTCTTTTCTTCTATTTTTTTATTTAATTTTTTGTATTTAATTCGGCTAACTGCGGTTATAATCGATAACCGGCCGGTCGGTTAGGCGGTGACCGTGTGAAACGCGCCGGTGGGTGTTCGGTTGTGCTGGGGGTCGCTCGATTTAACTGAAAACCGACCGACTGCCAGCCCTAGGTGACACTAATATAGATGAAGGCGTTGTTATTGATGGAGATGATGATTTGCTCATGGCAGAGCAAACCAAACAAAGCCAAGAAAATATGCAGTAATTTCTGTAAAAGAGGAGTAAATATAAGTGTCATTTGAACAAGTTTTTAGGAGTTGGTTCCTTGGTTCGAGGTCTATCGTTTATGCTAAGGATTTTAGCTCTAATTGAACCTATTAGGGTGTTAGAAAATACTATACGATGTTAATCCTTTTGAACATTACCAATTACGAAATAATCTGGATTCTCTTATACTACCAAATAAAATTATATTTTGCTTGACTTTTGCTACTCAGTATTTGGCGATATGCAAAATGACTTGGACATACTTCGAACATATTGTTATTGTTGTTTATAGCATTTTATAAAATGCATCCGACCAACGCGCGGTTCGTGTTCAAATCTAAGTAAAAGTTGTATACATTAAGAATGAGACTAGAGGACTATCCGATGATTGAGGAATTTTACAATACTACATAGTATTGGTGCTATAGGTTTTTGACTTTATGGTACAATTTGAAATTGTACCTTTAACGTTGTGGTATAATTTTAGATTATACCTATACTTTTTGTACAAATTCTTTTATGGTACAACTTGAACTTGTACCTTTATGTGATGGTACAACTTCAAGTTGTAAAGTTGTACCATAACATAGTGATACAAATTCTTTTATGGTACAATCTAAACTTATACATTTCATGTTACGGTACAACTGTAAGTTGTACATTAAAACACCAATACTATATAGCATAGTAGAAATGCTCCCGATGATTTACATAAAGAAAAAAAGGATTAATTATCCGATAGTACATCACAATAAAACCAATGTATGAATGTTTAAGCTCGCTATCTGCCATTGTAAATAGAGCTAGTCGATCCACCGCTGATAGATGAAGAGCTATACATGTCAGCTGAGCCAAGATCAGGCGGAGTGGACATCACCACCTCCAACAATCTTGAGTTCGCCCGGCGAGCACTTCCAAGAGCGTCGTCATCGGTGTACCCACGCCGGTCGACAGTTGGAAGCTGGTCTTCGCAATTCAGATACCTCACCACTTGTCTCATCGTGGGTCTCGACTCCTGCCTTTGGTGCGAGCAAATGAGCCCCAACCCTAGAACCATCTCCATCTCCTCTGCCACATACCGCCGCTCCAGCCGTGCATCGGCCGAGTCCAGAACACTCCCCATTTGCAGGCACTCCGTCACCCAGTCCACCAGTATAAAGTCTCCGTCGCCGTCGCCAATCGGCCTCCGCCCACTCGCCGTTTCCAGCAGCAGAACCCCAAACGCGAACACGTCGGACCGGGTCGACGCCTTCCCTGTTCGGGCCAATTCGGGGGCGATGTACCCGACCGTCCCGACGACATTGGTCGTGTGCGACGCCGCCGTTCCGTGGCTGTACAGCCTGGCGAGCCCGAAGTCCCCGAGGCGGCCGTTCATCTCGCCGTCGATCAACACGTTGCTGGACTTGACGTCCCTGTGGATCACAACCTGCTCCCATTCCTCGTGCAGGTAAAGCAACCCCGCGGCAATCCCTTTCAAAACCCTAAACCTCTGCTCCCAGCTCAAACCTCGCTGCCCGCCGTAGAGGAAGAAATCCAGGCTCCCGTTCGGAATGTAATCGTAGACGAGAAGGAGATCGCTCCTTTGCTTACACCAACCTTGAAGGTTCACCAAGTTCTTGTGCCGCAATCTCCCCAGACTCTCGATCTCCGCCGCGAATTCCCTAATCCCTTGGATCGAATTGGGGGTTATCTTCTTCACGGCGAGTAGAGATCCGGAATTGGGGATAATCGCTCGGTAGACTGCGCCGAATCCGCCTATCCCGATCATCTCGCTGTCGCTGAATCCTCTTGTTCCGGAATACAGATCTCGGTAGCGAAATCTGTGAGGGCACTCCAATTCCCAATCCTCGAGGGCTTCGAATCGCATCGTTACTCTTTTGTACAGAGTAGCGAAAATCAGCACCCCCAAAAGAACAACGGTGACGGCGCAGAGAGCAGATATGAGAGCGATTACCGAGGGTGCGAAACGCGGGGACGGGGATTTCTCCGCCGGCGGCGGCGAGGGGAGCAGGGAGATGTTGAGCGGCGGGGCTGGGTTTCCATCCGTCGAGAAGCTCCATCCGAGAATGTAGTGTGCGCTCGCTTTCTCCCCGCCGGTGGACGCCGAGAAGCCGGCGTACATGAGCTCCCTGACGACGGGGGTTAGATCCAGGGATTCGGAAAGCAGGGGAGCGATTGGCTTGCGATTGCCGGCGGGGGAGACGGTTACGTCGACGCGCTTGAGAACGGCGTCGTATTCCACCCAAGCTTGAATTGGATCCCCGCTCTGGAGGATCACCTCTTGTCGTTGATTCCCGTCGTCGACGAAGTAGGCGGAGGAGGCGTTTCTGGAGTTCATGCTGTTGACGTTGATGCCGACGTGGTTGCCGTCGGTGTCTCTGGTGTCGTTGACCCCGTTGACGGTGTCGAATTCGATGGCGAAGACGTGGTTGGACGGGTCGCCGTCGTTGGTTGTCGAGTTGAAGAGGCCAAGGTAGTGGTCGGCGGCGGCGCCGGGGAATTCAGGGGAGGGGGCGAGGACGAATGCGAGGCCGAATCCGCCTTTGCCGGCGGCCGGAGAAATGATCGAGAAGACGAAAGTCGTGGCGAAGGAAGTGGAAGAAGGGAAAGGGGAGGTTCGGTTGAGCATGCGAATAGGTCGGGTGTGGAAGGCGTGGCCTATGGCGTTTTTGGTTCGTGTGGAGGTAAGCCGCAGCGCGCCACCGGGTTTCAGAATTGAGACTCGGTCGTCGACGAGGATTTCCCCATCATCAGCTCCGCTGAATCCGTTGAAGGTGAACTGATCGACGGCGGAGTGAGCTGCAGGCACGGCGATGGTGATGAAGAAGAGAACGCAGCAGAGCAAGGTGTTGTTGTTGGGTGCCGCCATATATGTGTGTGATAATTTGTAGCACAAAGGTCGGATACACACGCACTTTTGTGTGTTTATAAGAACCACCAAAACAAGTAAGGATTTACGTAGCAACTTCTTTGCCTTGAGCGTACGGTATTAGAAGTTGGGGGAATGGGCTCACGACTTGAGAACCCGGGAAGCGTCAAAGTCCTTCTCCGGCCGGTGGTCCCTTAATGCATTTTTATTCAATTGGTTGAATCGACGTTCATCAGGTTCTGTCCTATGTGGGTGAGAGACGTTGATTATGAGGATGTTGTTTGTATATAAATATCTTCAAGGCCAAAGGAAGTGATTAGGGCGGCAAATGAGCCAAACTGTTCGCGAATGGCTTGGCGTTGGATTTGGAAAAAACTCGCTCGATACTTGACTAGTTTACTAAAGAGCCGAGGTTGAGCTAACCCTATTGGAGCTTGTGGAGCTTGCGAGCTAGCTTGACTCGGTGGTTTGTTGAGATGGAAAGGAAATAATAATGTAGCAGATTATTATAGAAAAAAAAAAGGCTAAATTACACGTTTGGTCAATCAAATTATACAAATCTTTCATGTTTGCCACCCAAATTACTTTTCTTTCTTATTCACCACTAATTTTACGAATCGTTTCACCGTTAGTCACCCGCCGTTACACTCCGTTAAGTTTGTCCTACATGGCAGTCAACTATAAAGTTTGACCGTTAACTAGATGACGTGGAAATTAAAATAAATTAAAAAATAATTTTATTTTTCCACCTCATCATTCCACTTACTTTGTCTATATGCTTTATTATATTTATGATTTAATTAAAATTAATTATTAGGGAGAGAATTTCCCCTCCTTCCACGTCATCTGCTTTCCGAGACGGTGATTGAATGGAGAAGGGAATGGAAGGCAGGAGTGGCGATGAGGTGAGTTCCCTATAAATTGACTGTAAGTCACAACCTGAGCTTGGGACATGAGCTAATTGGCAATGGTATCCGTTCTTGTAACCGGCGGGTCCGATTGGGTAGTGAAGCAAAGTGATCATAAAATCAATTTGGCCGATCGAGGACAGTTTCTACTAATCAGCCACACGAACTTTTATTCCACAAAAAAGGTGTTTTCCGGCGAGGAAAATCTGGTGTTTGAACACAATCAATGCACCTTTGACTTCTCGAACAACGATTAATTACACGGTTCACTCCTCTCCGAACAATGTTCGAACGAGGGTGTTTGATGTTTTTGATGGTTTTTGGGAATAATCTAAGTTACTCTACTCCTATGGAGGTTCAGTGAGAGCTCCGAAAAACTAAAAACTGATTTGCAGAGAAAAGATAAATTTTGACATTGTGTGTCAAATGATTGGTTGTGGAACCCTTGCTTCTTCTTCGTTTCTTCTATTTATAGCCACTAGGTGTAACTGCCTTGGTAACCGCCTTGGTAACTGCTAACTGGCCTCTTGCTCCAAACCGCCTCGGGGCCCCTTTCGCCGCCTTGGTGACTAGTTGGCAACCGTCGCCTTGAGGCCCTTGTCCCGTCTTGGGGCTGGTGGGTACTTGATGGCCTCGATGCCGGGTTGGGTTGGTGTTGAGCCTTGTCGCCCTGTCATGACTAGATGGGGTTGAGGTTCTTGCCTTAGCCTCCATAAACCATGATGAGGTCTTGATCTCACCCTCAACTGCTTGACGACTCCCCAAGCCCGTTAAGGTGCTACCAAGCCCGTCTTGGGAATTTATCTCCATATGGCCCCATAAGGGCTCAACTCTGCATCCTGGTCGATCCATCCATGGTTGTTTGGCTTGATACCGTGATGTTTGGCTATCAAGTCCGTCTTGTCGGCTTGATACCCAGACTTAGTTTCTGTATGACTGTCTTAGTTGGTACCTGGCTTGGCCCCCTGTTGCCTAGCCACCAAGTCAGTCTTCCCGGCTTGATACCCCCTTGGGGTCATGGTACCCTGTCGCTTTGCTTGGCTGCCAAGCCTGTCTTGCCGACCCTGTTGGCTTCATACTTAGCCAAATTCATGCTTTTCATGTCTTGGTACCAAGCCCTGCCTTGCCGACTTGGTACCCTCTTGCTATGGCCATGTGATTCCATACTTAACCAATTTTCATGTATTTTAGTATCAAGCATGCCTTTTCAGCTTGATACCCCTTTGGCTCTATACTTAGCCAAATCCAATGTCTTGGTACCAAGCACGCCTTGCCGGCATGGTACCCTATTGCCCCATACTTAGCCGATTTTGTCTCAGCACCAGGCCTGCCTTGCCGGCTTGGTACCCCGTCGTTTGGCACCCCGTTGTGTCACCTTGTTTTCCATACTTAGTTTGTTGGGTCTCAACACTTAGCCAATTTTCGCCTTCTTTCCCATCATGTCTAGCACGATGACCCCTTTGCATGACATCATGCTTGACCCCCTTGGACGAGGTCATGCATGACCCCTTTGCATCACATCATGCTTGACCCCCTTGGGATGATGTCATGCTTCACCCCCTTGGACGAGACCCCCCTTGGACGAGATCATGCATGACCCCCTTGGACGAGACCCCCTTGGACGAGGTCATGCATGACCCCCCTTGTGGTTGGGTCTCCATACTTAGTCAAATTTCATACCAAGGGATGGAGGCATCGTCTGGCTATGGAGGTCACGGAGACGGGTCGGCCATCGTATAGAGAAGAAGGGGTTTGGCCACTTAGGCCCAAAAATCCAACCCAACTAGGCCCAACTGGCTCTTTTAATCATTAATGTTGAGCTGGCCTTATAAATCCATTAATCCCCTTGTAATTAATCGATGTGGTACAAGTTGATTTTTTATGGGTGAACAAATGCCCCCCACAACTTAGTGTATAAGAATTATGCACTAAGTTGTTGAACTCAACTTGACCACCTAAAAATAATACTTATCTCGGCACCACCTTCCTTAGCCAAATTTTGGCTTTGATTACAAAGTCATGCACCCATATCCTTTTATAGAATGCTAGGCCCTGACAAAAGGAAGTAAAACTTAACTAGCTCAATTTCCTTTCCATGTCATGGCTAGCTACTCAAGCATGCTTTATCACGAGGGTATCATGCCATGTCTTAGGGTGTGGGAGGCTTGGCATGCCGGCCCAACATTGAACCCTTTGACACCCAACGTCCCAAAGAGAAGAGACATAAGGCTTGAGATACTTGACATTGATTAATTGATCATGTAGCATCCCATCCTCTTACGACAAGCAGGCTTCCTTGGACGGGTGGCCTGGACAATAAAGGGTCTACACCGACAGCGAATCACCTGCTCATGCCATGTAAATGACATGGATCCAGCCACCACATGAGTGTGGCTTATCAGTTATGACCAGGTTCTCACATCACAAATCTAACTAAAACTTGACACTTCGACCTCGTATTTTTTTAGCCATGATTGGCTTTTGATTTTCTCTTTTTCTTTTTACTAATATTATATTTATTTATTTTAATATAGAAGAGAGTGACAAACGTCACTAATATCCATGCCCTTTGGCACCCACCAATGTGCCAAAGGTGTACAGCCACTGCCAAGTCCATGGGTTAAACCAGACCAACCATCCATACACTACTTGTCTTCCCTCTGTTAGGGGAAACAACTCATTTGGTGTTGGTTTCAAATTTTCCAACTTAACAATGGATGGCACCCTCTCAACTTGCCCTGTCTTAGTGGGCTTGCATGGGGTCCCATGATCCACTGCCTTGGCCACCCTACTAGACATGTTGGATTGATGTTGAACCTGATGTGTTTGCCTCGTCCTGGGTGGCGCACTAGACATTTTCAACTCCTTCGACTCATCAAAGGGGCCAAGAGTTGTCATCTGTCTTATTTTACCCCAACTAGGCACATGCTTACTCTTCCCATATGGTTGAGAAGACGGGTGTTTGGACTTACAGAGCTGACGACCGCCCTTGTGGCCAACTTGACTCTTTCTAAAACCCATGTCTTCATGGTTTTTACACTTAACACATAACAACCCTTGATTCGTTATATGACCATGATTGGTTGGTGTATGTCGAGATGTCTTATTCACACCTTCTTGTTTGCCATTCATGTTTGGCATGCAATGGGGGGCTTTAGGCATGGACTTCCTTCCTCGTCCATCCCTTAACACCATCTCATACTTAGAAATTTTTTGAGTGGGTTGGGCGTGATGAACACTCCTGGACTTGTTCTCCACTCGTTTCTTCACTGTCGGTGACATGCCCCCCTTTCCACTGGTTGGAGACATGCCCCCCATAGCCTTGTTCATGGTTTTTGACGTACCCCCTTTGCCAAACTCAACTACACTACCATTCTTACTACAAGCATGTGTAGCTTGGGTTTGTTGTGGCTTCTTGGGAATGTGTATCTTTCTATTGTTTGTGGTTGATGATATGCCCCATTGTCGACCCTTCATGGGTGGCATGTTACAAGGGGCCTTGCCTCCTTGTGCGTTGTCAAAGTTATGAAAATCATAGGTGGCATGGGGAGGCAACACCCACTTAGACTTGCCACTCACTCCATCCTTCATGTCTGATGACATGCCCCCCTGCCCACTGCATGGAGATGGAGATATGCCCCCCATGCCATCCTTAGGAAACAAATATGGTGTTCTGTTGGACACACCATTTTGTTCACCTTTCTTGACATCAACTTGCCCCCCAGCCTGACTCTTCATCTTCAACTTGTCAAGTGGTAGGCTTCCATGCACCTCTTCCTGCCCCCCTGGCGGTTTGCATCCACCAGGACGCTCGAGCATAGATGGCATCGAGGTTGGGCAAGCTTGTGGTAGCATATTAGCTATTAACCCTCCACCAACTCTCACGTTCAAGCATGGTCTAGCCTCTGAGACGGTTTTATGAGTAACTGTCGGCACAGGCGGTTGCTTTACATGAGTGGTGAATGTGGGAGCAAGATTTTTATTATAACCGCTATGCTGAAGACGTAGTTGACTTGTCACCGGAGGCGGTAAGTTCCCTGACCGTGGCTGGGTAGTCCGGCCACCGGAGAACAGGATACTTGTATACTCAGT